CAAATGGATGAAAAATACTAAAAGGAGTAAAAAAGGGTCAAATTTGGAGCAAAAATGAACTAGGACACCTAAGCGTTAGAGGCTCGCGCCTAAGTGCCAGATACCCCATGCTTAAGCATTAGAAGTAGTTATTTGATGATTCATTGAATTTAGAAGAATTTTCAAAGAGATGTTTGAAGCAACCCTTGGTAAAAACATGAGAAATATCCCATGGACATGAAAATTCAGACATGAAAATTCATTCAAGACATGAAAATTCATTCAATTGGCTTTTTAGGATGCAACTTCTAGAAGATTCGTTGAATGAAGACACATTTTGAAGGGACATAAAAGCACCTTTTGGATTTTTATTAAAGAAGGCTTGGATCAGCAAGACAGAAGGCCAACCACCCATCAGATTTTACAGCCGTAATCCATCCAAGTCGCAGCCGCCGCCGGCCACTTTCTTTTTTATTTTAAGTGTTTAGTTTGTATTGAGAGGGAAGGAAGAGAATTAAAAAGAACTTCAAGACATTTAGAAGAGAGGAGTTGAGATAAGTGTTTATCTTTGTGACTACACTTGGTTTTAATTTAGATTTCTTATTTTTGTGCATGATTTCTACTTTTAAACTCATATGTAGTCATGTTTTTTCCATGGATTCTGAGTAAGTTTCTTTATCTTTTTTCATAAAATGATAAGTGATTAAGTGTTGAAAGAAAGTTGTGTGAAGTATTATGCTTCAATTTTGGAAGAAGTTGTGATGATTTGAAAGCTTGCACTTCATTTACTTCTTGATTTGACCAATTAAGATGTTAATACTTGTTGTAAGATCATGTAAGATTTGAGATGGTATTGTCTCAGTCAACAAATGGTTTAGAATCACATATTGATTCATGGATGAGAATGTAGTTCATGAGGTTGAGTGCAAATAAATAGGGAAATAAACTTTTCAAAGGTGTAGAATTAAAGGACTTTAGAGTGACAGGCTAAAGCCCCCCAATTTGATGTATAGTTTTAGATTTTAATATGAGATGTTAGCCTCCAAGTGGAGGGAGGAGAGGGAACTCTAGAGTGAGAGCTAGTATCGTCCCTACCTACCCGATCTTCAAGACTATTCAAAATATAGATTAACCAATGTTCTGCATAGCATCTCTAGTAAGGTAAAGAATATTATTACTCATATTTGACACAACACATTTAAAATACTTTCATAACATAATTTCTCTACTTATTACTGATTCATGATAAGGAAAAAAATATTTTACTTATACTGCCTTCATCTTGCAAATATTTAGTTAAGTTAATTAGTTACTTTATTTTCATAAACCCAAAATTACAAAAAGAATCAAATTTGCATTCCTATTTTAACATCTTAAGTTTTAAGTAAGAATATTTTGCCAAGTAGATTTTTGTCATCTAAAATTTCTAAAATTTCTAAAATTTCTAGTTTTTTAAAGTGCATATTGCTAATCTCCATGTGGGTTTGATATTCGGGGCTTAATCAAAAAGTCATATATTACTTGATAATGATATGTATACTTGCGTAATATCTCATATTTAAAGATTATAATTGTATTCTTATTTGTTTCATAGTAGAAAACTTACCTAGCTTTTACTTTGGATCAAGCTTTTTGACTTTATTGCAAATTAAGAATAACTATTAAACATATAATCACATGCATCGCATTTTACATCTATATAGAAAGTCGTGATCAAATTTTTGGCACCGTTGTCGGGGAGGTTAAAAAAAAAAGATTTAGATTACAGAAATTTGCAAAAATTTTCAAAAAGAAGTTTTTAGAAAGGAAAATTTCTATTTTTACAAAGTTTTATTTAAACTTTAAGATTTATTGTAGGAATATTATAGTGTTGTTTTTATATAAAGTTCTTGTTTGTGTTTTTATTTTTATTTTATTTTATTTCATTTTATATGTTTTTATAGTAATGTATGTGTAGTTCAGGTTCCGCAGGACTTGTGTCTTACGATTCTGAATTAAAAAGAACTATTAGAAAAATTAAAAAATTAAAAAAATACTAAAAAAAATCAAGAAATGACAAATTGAAATAATCAAAATGTTGAAGAGTTTAGACATTTAAGAGATTATACAAACTACGGTTGATGAACTTCATTGTAGTATTCAAAAAACCGTTATAGTGGCTAATTCATTCGAACTTAAACCTATTATTATCCAATGATATCGAATAATCAGTTTGAGGGAGCACCAACTAAAGATCCAAATTTACATCTTGCCAATTTTCTAGAATTGTGTGATACATTTAAATATGATGGTGTATCAGATGATGTTATAAGATTAGTTATAAGACTTAGATTATTTCCTTTCTCATTGAGAGATAAAGCTAAGATGTGGTTAAATTTCATTATCATCTGAATTTATCAGAACTTGGAGTGATTTAGAGCAGAAATTCCTTACTAAATATTTTCCACCATAAAAAACTGCGTAGCTTAGAAATGATATTACATCTTTTTGTCAGTTTGAAGGGGAATCTATTTATGAAGCATGGGAACGATTTATAGAACTCTTAAGAAAGTGTCCACACCATGCTATACTAGATTGATTAATAATTCAAACGTTTTATAATGGATTAGTTAGATCTCTTAGATCTATTATCGATGTCGTTGCTGATGGTTCATTGATGTCAAAATCAGTTCATAACGCTTATGATTTAATTGAAGAAATTGCTACAAATAATTTTCAATGGCCTTCTGAAAGAATAAATCTTAAGAAAGTAGCCAATATTAATGAAACTGCTGCTTTTTCCATGCTAGCAAATCAAGGTGCAGCAATTTCAAGGAAGGTTGACAGGAAGTTAGACTAATTTAGAATGAATTTTTCTCAACCAATTTTTATGATTGAAGAGAATTAATTATGCCAAATAGTAGATTCTCAAGCATCATTAGAAACTTTGAATGTCATAAACAATAAGCAGAATAACTCATATTCAAATAATTATAACCCAGGTTAGAAGAACCATCTTAACTTTAACTAGAATAATACTTCGTGTGGTAGTAATCAACAATGGGTGAACAATCAAGTAAACACATTGAGAAACTAGAACAACCAAACGAATAATAATTATAGACCTACGTATCCTTCAGGTTTTAACAATAATCCACAATTTAAGTAGAAGAAATTGTCTATAAAAGAAGTGGTGTTACAAATGGGAAATCAATTATAAAGTCAATGAGCTATAATTAGAAATATTGAGAATGAAATATTGAGAATATTGAGAATCAATTGGGACAAGCAAATTCATTAACGGATCCCAAGGAACACTTATTAGTAATACAGAAGTAAATCTGAAAAACCAGAATGAAGAGCAAGTAAAAGTCATTCAACTAAAAAGTGGAAGAGAATTGGAAGGTAGAGTTCAAAAAGAGACTAAAGTAGAGAGAAGAGATTGAAGAACTAAAAGAGGACGCTCCGAAAGGTTTAGAGAGACCTATTTCTCCACTTAAAGTTGATTTAGAAAAACCACCACCTTTATTTCCTCAGAGGCTTCGATAACAAAAGTTAGATAAACAATTTTCAAAATTTTTGAAATTTTTTAAGAAGCTTACAATTAATATTCCATTTGTTGAAGTTCTAGAACAAATGTCAAGCTATGTAAAGTTTATGAAAGATATTTTTAACAAGAAAAGAAAATTTGAAGATATTGAAACAGTTCCACTTAGTAAGGAGTGCAGTGCTATAATTCATAAAAAGCTTCATGAAAAACTTAAAGATCTTGATACCAAAGATCTTGATAGTTCTACAATTCCATGTGCAATAGGAGACAAATTTAATGAGAAAGCTTTATGTGATCTAGAAGCAAACATCAACCTTATGCTATTATTAGTATTTAAAAGATTGGGATTACGAGAAATAACCCCTACCACTATAATTCTGCAACTAGCAGATCGTTCAATAAAAGTTATTCAAATTTATGTAGGAAAACAAATTTAAATCAGCATGTAATACTCAATAAATATAAAAATAAAATAAGACGTAATACTAATAGATATAATTTAAAAAATAATAACACAATTAACGCCATGCCACCCTAAGAGCCACATTTCGCAACAATGTTTATTTGCAAAATGTAACACATACTAGACAATTCTCAATTATTTACAGATTTTGCACCTAAAACTAAATCCTATATAACCATTGCACTTGGTATCACATTTTGCAGCTTCATTTTTCAGAAATCTAGACATACCCTAATGTTCTTATTTATTTACATATCTTGAACCTAAAATTTGATATTAACATGTATAACACTTTATTGTCAACCTATCCATGAGAAGGTATATTTCCGTTACAAAAAGTTAGTCAGAGTAATATTTTTTATATGATATTAAGGATTCGAGTATTTTCTATGCAAATAAGAAAGTTTTGATGCTCGATGAGTAAATACATACGGATTGTGTGGTATATACGTTAATACCTTCCCCTTTTTCCTCTTCATGGTGGACACAGGCCTTAAAAAAGTATCATTTCCTACTAGTTACTTCAAATTGTAACAGATTCAAGATTAATAGATATTTAAAATATTTTAAGATGCTTGCAATTCTAATAATAAAAATGAGTCATTTACATACATTACATACCACCCAATTATTATATAACACTGAAACCTTTACTTTTTACATTTATGCCACCCAAATCATCCATATCACATCAAAAGTGCCACTATTTCAACTTTTAAAAAGTGAAATACACCTTTGAATGTATAGGTAAGGTGGCATCTATGAAAACTTTGAAATTTAGACGTTAGATATGAAATATGCAAGAATTGAGAGGTAGAATGTAAATCTTCCTTTAAAAAAAAAACTGAAAACAAATGCAAAAAATTAAACTAAAAAAATTAAATCAGAAATGTGAATTTAAGGCTTTCACCAGAACCTAAAATGAATAAAACCAAAACCAACTCTAAAAGTTTGGCCTGAAAAAAAATGTATATAAGAAGCATATACACGATCAACAGAACAAATCACCAGATAGTTTTCAGAAGCATGTCGACACCAAACTGGGCTCTATTTAGAAACAAATTCATTACAACCTAAGAGATTAGATTGAGAAAAGAAAAACATTACGTCCTTCAAGCAACAGCCGTTCCAGAAAAAAACCTACCTTGAGCTAGCAAAATCAATTCCTTTTCATTGCTTGCAGTACTGAAATATGCAAAACATACCTTCCTCTGATGCCTTTTGCTTTACTAGAGAAAAGCTTTATAAGTGAATTTTATTCCAACCTCACTGCTCTTGTACGCTGTGAGTGTTATCCTCACTAATGCAACCAAGAAACCGCACGACGACACAGGTTATATTGTCAGCACTTCCCCTAAGGGAAGCCTCCTGCAGCAGGTTCTTTGCAGCCTGTTCTGGGTCTTCAATGGGTTTGACCATGGCTACAGCCTCCTGGGTTAATTTGCATGCAGACATCACAAAGCTATTATTTTCAGAGGAATGTGATCCATGCTAACATTTATAACTAAAAATTCAGAACTACCTCATTGGAGACTACATCCCACAGTCCATCACTTGCGAGGATGAGGAACTCTAGAGATCCATCAACCACCTCTTCCTATTGTTCCATGAAAGATGAGGAAAATATTAAGAATGATGAACATCTATGAGATCATACTACATATATTATTACTATGCCAAAACTGGTATATGAGAAGAATGTATGGGCATATGCAGCCCAAACACGAATGAGTTATGAACTTCCGGTCAGCTGAGTTTGTTATTATTGAGCCAAATACAAACGAGCTCAACATTATTAACGAGTAAAAAAAAAGTTTGTGTACTGCGTGTTAATTTTTGAGCCGAGCACAAATAGAGTATATGCTAGTCGAGCTAATCACCATTAATTGCATCAAAAACTTATTGATTGATAGTTCCAATTGTATAAAAAAATGTGTTTCTTATAGTACATTAGAAAAGTTAAGCACGTCTTTCCATAATATAAGCACTTCAGAAGCTTTTGAATGGTAAAACACAAAACTGATAAAAGAGGCTCATGTTATTATTCTAAAAATAAAGGCAATTATATTTAGTTACATATACCAAACACTTGTCCAACAAATCATAATAGAGATGGATTTTATTTGTGTTCACATTTTTAGTGGAAGCATAAAAAAAATCGTGTTCAAATCCAGCTCGCTTGCTTAATGAACTAGCTGAATACAAACAACCAACAAGATGTGCATGATATTGAACTGTTTTTACAACCCTATATAAATGCTTAACCATCTGCAGAAACCTACATAATTTATGCAGTTAACAGTTTGAAAATAAACATAGATGCACTTAGATTGATTTTTACCTGAATTTCAGGATCTGCAACCACATACTGCTTCAAGAAACGATCACCAAATGCACGGGAAACAGCTAATACACCACCAACGCGCCATGTGCCTGCAGGACATCTTACTAAGACATACAAAAATAAAATTTGATATATATATACCACCAACGCGCCATGTGCCAGCCCAGATAACAAAACCTCCAGCGTCCTCAATTCTCTGTCTCTCATCTGTTTGATCAGGCTTGTGATCTCTTGAAACAGCAATGGCATTTCCACTCTGATGCAATTGTTTTACATGATTAAGATAAACAAATTTGATGAAAAGTAAGCCAAACTTTGCGGTAATTATCAGGTTGTTCAAAACAACGAACAAAAACCAAGGCACATCAATAGCCTTCTACCCTGTTCTCAACTACAACAAAAAAATAATGAAGTTGCACAGTGCCATCCACAATCCAGCACACATTTGAATGTGATTGCAATGACAAGCAGCCGCTTAAAATATTATCAGAAAAAATTCTATATTTATTCTAGAAGAACCAAACGTCATATTGAAAAACAACCTTAAGTTTGACTGTATTTCTAATTAACAAATTGATACAGCATATGGACTACTCTCACCAAATTCGACATTTTATGCACATTATTTATTTATCGAAAACCTTATATTTAAGCCATTTGACATCGAAAACGTTTTTGAATCCTTCTGCATCAAATTATTTCAACTTGAAACATTTAGTTTTCTAAAATGTACCCCATTTATGGACTAAGCAATTCCTTCACTGGCAGAATGGATATTATAGACATAATAAAAGCAGCACATGCGGTTTGTTAGTTGACATAATAATCAGGTATTAGAAGGTTGCCAGTAAGAGTTTGATTTTGGTTGCCAACTAACAAGTCTACAAGCCTCAGCAGAAAAGTCATAATATGGAGTCCTAAACCTAAAAAGTGTAGTTACAGGTCAAAGTTGTATGAAAGTTCTCAAGACTCATTTTCAGGAGGCTGGAGGGATACACAGCAACTTTGACTCAGGGAATAGTTTGATTGCATGTCTTGGCGGACTAAAGCAAAGGTTGGAATTAATCAAACGAAACAATCCCGACAGACAGAAAACAAAGGTTTTATATATCAAACGTAGTAATTAGCTGAAAAGCCTAATGTGAGCACAGAAAGTTCCCATTATGCTTGAAATTAATTTTTCATTACCTTTTTCTTATGATTCGCATACAAGTATAAACAAAATATCAGAACATTGGCTTCCTAACATATGCTTTACTTGTTTGCTCTGACACCATTAACTAAATCAGAACAAAGTTAAAGTGAAAGTGCACCTGACAGCACAACCAAAATACACAACTAACATATGTATAAACTAGCCAAACAAAGAAAAAACAAAAGGTAAAGATTTAACTCAAGTAAAGTGTATTAGAGATGAAAATCAAAAATTACTTTTAGAAAAATATTTTCAACATAGGTGGGTGAATTATTTCGATAAACTTTTTAATAAAGTTTCTGATAATACAATCGACCCTTAGAAAAATATTTTCAACATAGGTGTGTGAATTATTTCGATGAACTTTTTAATAAAGTTTCTGATAATACAATCGACCTTAGTGATCTTAGTATCGTTAATAATAAAAAAACGTTTTATTTTTATCGTCGCATTAGTAAAAAAGAAATTGAGGAGACTTTAAAGAAAACCAAGTGTAGAAAGTCTGTAGGACCTGATGATATCCTAATTAAAGTGTGGAAATATTTAGGAGATTTGAGAGTTTCTTGGCTTACTAAACTCTTTAATATTATTTTAAAAACTAAAAAGATGCCTGAGGAGTGAAAGAAGAGTATTTTGGTCCCCATTTTAAGAATAAAGGAGATGCACAAGAGTGTGCAAATTATAGAGGAATTAAGTTGATGTGTCATACTTTAAAATTATAGGAGAGGGTAATAGAACATAGGTTAAAATATATTACAAAGATTTCTCATGATAAATTTGAATTTCTGTCGGGCAGGTCTAATATGGAAGCTATACATATTGAGAGGTTTGATGGAGAAATTTAGAGTTAATAAGGGGGATCTATATTTTATTTTTATTGATTTAGAAAATACTTACGATAAAGCTCCAAGAGATGTCCTTTGGAGAGTTCTTGAGAAAAAAGGCGTTAATATAACTTATATTTAAGTCATTAAAGATATGTATACTTGAGTTGTCACTTGTGTTCGAACTGATGGAGGATTGTGGAGGATTGACCAAATAATGGAGGATTGACCAAATATTTTCCTGTTCCTGTTGGATTACATCAGGGATCGTCTTTAAGCCCATATCTTTTTTGCTTTAGTTATGGATGGTCTTAATAGACATTTACAGGAGGATGTAATTTGGTGTATGCTTTTTGCTGATGATATCCTTCTCGTGTAGGACAAACTTGAATTATGGAGGTCTACATTAGAGTCTAAAGGCCTTCGTTTGAGTAGAACTAAAACTGAATAAATGGACTGTAATTTTAGTAGTAGTAGCTCTAGTGACAGAAGTGTAACTTTGGGTAATAAAATTATTAAAAGGTGTGATTGAATTAGGTATCTCGGGTTTATTGTTCAAAGCGATGGTGATAAAGATGGGGATGTTAATAGTAGAATTCAAGTTGGTTGGTTGAAGTTGAGGAATGCTTCGAGCTTATTAGCTTATTGTGTGATAGAAAAGTAGATTGAAAGGAAATTTTATAAGATGGTGGTGAGACTTGCAATGCTCTATAAGAGAAGCATAATACTAAGTTAAGTGTTGTCGAGATGAGAATGATTAGGTGGACTTTACACTTAGAGACAAAATGTGAAATGAATATATCCGTGATAGGGTTGGTGTAGCTCCAGTGACGGACAAAATTAGAGAGAGTCGTCTTAGATGGTTCGGTCACATTAAACGTCGGCCATCTGATAATCCAATTAAGAGAGTAGATGTTTAAGATTTAACTTATGTTACGAAAGACAGAGACAGACCTAGGAAGACTTGGGAGTACTGTATAAAAATGATCTTAATTTATTAGAATTAATGAAAAATATGACACTAAATAGGACGCAATGGAGAAAAAGGATTAATGTAGCTGACCCCACTTAATAGGATCAAGGCTTTGTTGTTATTGTTGTTGTTGCTTGAATTTTCCATTACCTAATTCTTATGATTTGTATATAATTAGGGAAACATATAAGAGCATAGCATTGGGCTTCCTACTATATGTTCTACATGTTTACTCTTGAAAACATTAAGAAAATCATAAAAAAGCAAAGTGAAATTCCATGGGCAATAAAACAAAACTAAAATATGAAATAAAAGCAATGCAACAATTTCAAAATGAGTGTTGTCATTTTTCACATCATCATCTTTGTCAATAATCATATCCCAACTATTTATGATTGGCTTTATGAATTTTCAGTTTCCATGTATTCATATTGAATATACAGACATTAAATATATTCTTTTAAATTCATTTCAAACAACTTGCAGCAATGTTGCCATTGGTCTAGCCCTTATACTTCCTACTCGTCTTTAATCGTCTAATGAGTGCATTTTCTCCCTTCATTAAATGTCCAAAAATGCCTAAGTTTATTTTCAATTGCATTTGCTTCACTAAATCTCACCACAATCATCTCATCAATACACTATATCATTTGATTTATCCTTCACAATTCGCCCAGACATCCATAAGATATTTTCATATGTCACTCAACTTATCTATTAATAACTTTTTTCAATCCAATAATTAGATCCATTGAACATCACCAATTAAATTATCATTGTATAAAATTTATCTTTTAGAATCCATGACATCAAATTATCATATCATACTCCGAAGACACTTCTTTCTTTGAGCCATTCAATATTCTCTAGAAGTTATATTCTGAGTATCCCAATTTTTTAAATAAAAAAGAAAATATAGTTGAATCCATTATGCCTAGATATCACTATCCATTAATCAAGATTTAACATTGTACATTTACATATAAGTCATTTTTTTTCCTATGGCGATCAGTTAGTCTCGAGACATTTTGAAGTACAAACGTTAAAATCAACAAATTTTGTAAGTAAGAAATATTATATTAAGTTTCAAACAATTAAAAGGTAACATCTTAACATCCTAACCTAATAAAATATTAAAAAGTAACGTATTAACATCCCAATATAATAAAAATAACAAATTATTCAAATTGCAAAAAGCATATCAACATCCAAACATCAGATCATTAAAATATAAAGAGTTATGCAAACACCAAAGTAAGACATAATAACTTAATTCATAATAAGTTTATTATACGATTAATCTCCCTCACATTCCTACCATCCTCCATCAAAGTAAGAAGACAACAAATAGCATATTAGAATTTTTAAATTGAAAAGACATCATCACTCTTATCACTCAATGGGCCTTAATTAAAATCATTGGCATAATGAATTACTATCTCTCTTACCTCATCCTGAATTATATTCTTATTTTCTCATTCCTTATAATTAATCAAAATCATTCCTCTTATTCAATCAATAATTAATAAGACTATTTATTAGATTTTAAAATAATGATTATGTTGATGATAATTATTTCAATTAGATTCTTAATTCTATACTATTTTAATAAGCAATGTTATTATGTTTATTTTACTTATATTCACTTTAAAGAAAACCCTCTATTTAATTATTCACGTTTCACCAGCATTGAGGCAAGGCACACCATCAGATGGGCCTTATAAAATGCAAAGTGTAAGCCTAATATAATACCCAATGAGGCGTAAGATTGAATGCAAATTTAAGGAGAAAAAAAAAGTTAACGCGAAGCCTTACGGCTTGCTTCATATTTTAAACCATCTTGCTAATAATACTTGATTTGTGGTTGTTCATACTTGAATAGGTACTGTACATCTATTTCAGATAAGTTTAAAAGCTTTTGACTAAAGGGATGGAAAATATTGTGAAAAAAAAACTATGAATTGTAATGCATATAGCAAAGAGAGTACAAGTTACGATATTAGCATGCAACTATTAGGCCCAGTTCTAGACAAAATCCAAGGCTAAGGGAGAAAAAAACACCAAACGAACTAAAAGCAAAGAAATCAAAGATAAGAACAGCACCAAAGTTAACAGCACTAATCACTTTGCCTGTTTCGAGAATGTAAACTTACTATAGACAAAACCTCCAACAGGTTGGTGTCAATATAAGTCTCTCACGCCTCAAACGGGTGCTCTTGTGTAGGCACATACACATCACAAGTTAACTTTGCAA